GTATTCTATATTTATATATATCTTTATATAGATATACGTATCAAGGTAAAACATCAAACTAGCTTGCATAGGAGCTGCTACTCAATTTACCCTAGAAGCGAAATTTGATGTTATTAATTGACCCCTTTCAGTTATGACTCCCTCGATGAGACTACCATGCAGTCATGGGGACATGCCCAGGCTACGCCCATCCCTATCATCGCCAGCCAGATGGAGAGCATGCCTGTTATCAACCGGTGAGACAACACAGTAGTTTGTTCGTGTGTTTAGTATAACACACTACTGTCCTTGTCTGTTTCAAAACAATAGACAAATGCTGTATTTTCATGAAATGGAGCTAACGAACCTTGTGCGATCTCTTATATTTTGTGCCACTGGTCGTGTACCTGAGCTGTTGGGTGTATACTATCTTGTTAGCATTTCTGTTATCTCATTGTTATATGTCTGCCCCATTTATAGCCCAGCGTATCTTCTTGGCCCTGCCACAACCATGTTCACCTGAATTTCTTGCCGTTCTATTTATAAACCAGTTTACCCACCAAGATGAGTCACAACACCAGCCTTGACGCTACGTCGACCTTCAAAGCGGACAGGACATCGGGGGCTCCCCGGTCCTTTGTATGTGTTCTACGAAGCAACATTCTATTTTTAATCTTCATCTGGAATGTATTACTCTATTTATAGCCTGGCTCTGCTTTTCAGGCATCTCCGTGTTGAATTTATATATATATTTCTGACGTATTTCTATTAGTCAGTCAATGTGCCCAATAGGAATGAATCAGTTTTGGCGACAGGGCCCTACTTCAGGAAACAGGGGGTATATAGAAATACACACCACAGCCTTCTACAATTCTTTTTCGGAGGATATGTATACACGCGTATCTTGTATGATGAATATTTATACAGCTTTGCACGACAACGGTACATATCACGCATGTCTACATAACTTAACAGCCTCGGCTTATCCTTGTAAATATACGTATGTAAGTGGTATGGCAGTGATAGCAACTTATCCCGTATTCACGTTTTCGTACAGTCTTAGGCAAACAATCTCTACCGTTTGTACACACAAATATGTGTATAAACAGTGCATCATCCCTTCCCTTCAGCTCAACTCCTTGGTGGTTCGTCTCTCTCACACACATAGTATGGTAGTGGCAGCCGACACCTGGACCTCACGCGTCCCTCTACGTATGAGGCATTCATGTTGCCGTACAGTCGTATGGTTTGGTCTAGTAATCTCACCCCAGAGTCTCTCTGCCATAAAAATAATTGTACACATATTCATTTCACCCAGTGCTCTCAGCTTACCCTCATGACTGTGTTTATCGCAGTGGTATGGCAGTGGTAGCCGTCACCTGGACCCCTACCGCCCCTCTACGTATGTCGCCTTCACATTGTCGTACAGTCGTAGGCGCTGGTCGCATTTGGAACATCTCACAGTGGCTGGCAGACGCCCGATACAGCACGGCCCCAATTGGAAGAGCCTGTGCGTGCCTGCGTGCTTGCCGCTTACGACTGACTACTATCCTAGTAACGAAGAGGTATTATATATACATATATAT